TCAACACTATAAACAAGTTTTTTAGTGCGTGGAAATTAATGTTGAAGAGATTGTAATATTAAATATAATAAAAAAAAATTACCTTATATCTTTCAGATTATATAATAAATAAGTGTGTGGAGAATGAGAATAAATATAAAATTATCGTTACAAACAAAATAATAAGTTACGCTAGAAATTATAACCTCTCTGAATACTGTATGTATAGTATGTTTATTTTACAATTACCTCTAATAAAATCTGACGTTTCATTTGATTCATCACTACTAACTAAAAAGAAATATCATTCAATTGTAGAGTGGTTATTGTGAAGCCATATGTGTCAAGAGTTGCCCAATTTGGTGTTGTAGAAATAATATCCAGCTAAAATGATTTGTTGATACTGACTTCATCAAAATATCTACATATAAAAATTGTGAAGAATCTTTATGATTATCATATAGCGGTAATAATCGAATCATGCGGATTCTTCACGATTTTCAAATTATATATTACATTATACTTCCCTGTTTGGTAGAGATTCCTGACGCAATGGTCATAGGTTGACTAAGACGCTATTTAAGTCGCAGACTCTTGTTTATATATAACTTGGTCATGGTACTTGAGGTATTATGATCTTATTTCATACAACTAAGGTTGGGAATTATACTGTATAATATTTATTATACCGCTTTTACATAGCATGTGAAGGTACAGTATAATAACAGTATAATAAATATTATACTGTATAATTCCCAACCTTATAGACATTATAGTCTGCTAGGTATATTTATTATTATTGAGAAGTTGACAGCCAGTTTTAGTCAACTAAATACTCACATTACCTGATTTGTTGTCTGTTTTATTGCTATCTGTGTCTATATAACAGAATAAAATTTTATTTTATTTTATTCTGATAATCAACAGTAAAAATGAGTATTTTTTTATCTTTACCTGTTTTTCTAGAAGCTAGCATTGACCATGCAGTTTTGGGTTTAGGTGGCTCAGAAAATATAGGAGTTGGTCTGTTATAAAAAGTAGCGATCTGTTCAGGCCGGAATTCAGTCCATACACCTATATGAGAAAGAGAACGAGCACGAATATATCCTGCAAATTCATCTGTTACAGGCCAGGACCACTCAAACCATTTTGAAATACCGGGTATAGTCTTGAATTTTTTTTTGCTAAAACTGATTTCAATTAGTGACTAACTCTTATATTATATAGAAATAGAAAATATTAGAAGTATAATTTTTATATTTAAACTTACTTGGATGATTTCGAATTTATTTTTATATTGTCTTGACTCGCTGATAACTCTGCTATTTTATCACGATTTGGCTCTATATGTGATATGGACATTCCACTCAAATCTTGAAGTGCTGCTTCAATATTTGATCCTTCAGTAAGATCATACCCGATTCTGATATATCTTTTAATTGCATGTGCAACCTATTATTAACATTGAATTTATTAGTAGAACATAAACAAATTGAGCATAATTCAAATCTACTTACTGTTGCATGGTGAGAGTCAACAGTAGTTTTTGCTTCTCCTGGCTCAAGGAAGACCCATCCACGTACCTCTATATTATACCAATTATACCAAAGACTAATAATTGCCATTAGCTCTAAGTTATGATAGTGCCCTCCGTTATCTGAAATGATTTTAATCCATTGTGGTCTGGGGTCCATTGTCATGAATACTGCTTCAAAACACGATGCGGTGAACCAAGCATCTTGTTTGGTATCAGAACTCCAATGATCATAGGCCTGAATATCTAATTTTTCATTATTATTCTTATCTTTTTGGAACACTAAAGTTGTATGAAGTGTCCACCCACGCTTTCCAAAAAATTGACTTTTTGTCTCTTGTGCTGTTACAGGCAAAATTCGCATTTTATAATCAACTATGATAACGGTTTCATAGTTATCTAACTCATGCAATATCAAATTAAATTGAGCATTTAGATATGTTTTACGGGTTTGATGTACTAAATAACATGTTAATTGTTCTTGGCATTCTGTGAGTTTATCATGATAGGTATTATCAAGTTTATTTTTAAGATCTTCAAATACATTAAAGAATTTGTCACATTCTTGACACTGTGAAAAATGTTTGTATTTACATTCACCAAAAGCAAATAATAAACAATGATTTATGCAATTTGTATGATAAGTAGTACCATTTTCACTTACTACCAATTCTTTTTTGTAATATCGCTTTAGATGACGGCGTAATAACTCTATTTCATAAATCAAATGGTCCTACAAAAGTTATATATTAATAAGTATAAAAAATTTTTTTATTTTAGGCTGTTTGAAACTTTGTTTAACATAGTTAGGACAAGGGGATTAAAAATAAATAAGGTTTAGTGAACCTAAATTAGGTCAAACTATATTTAAACTCAATCTGTCTCTAAATTTTTAGGCATACTCATATTGTTTAATTCGAGAGGAGAGCTTTGGAAGTGGGAGATAACGTTAAATGAAGTTTTAATTTCAAACAACCTTACTAGTCAAAATCAACAAAATTTAGCATGCTAAATAGTAAATTTAAGGGAGGGTATTATTTAGCATACAAGTCATTCTCGTTATGATGAAGTGATTTGTTCTATTAATAAAAATTTTTAAAAATTCACTATATTAAGAGCTTTATTGGTAAATCGAGAGTTCATTATATGTAATGAGATAACGAAAGTGACTTGTATTATTTTTTTTTAATTGACTAGTGTATTTAATTTACTCGTAATATTTTATTAAAGTTTGTATTATTAATTATATTAATTAAAGTTTCAAAAGGTTGATATCCATAGTTATTGCATGTTATGCACAATCCACCCAAATCTTCTCAATACTGGAAACGACTATTTTGTAGGCGGTCCATGAAAGAGGTGTGTTTTATTCCATCTGAATATATAGCAGAAAACTTTTCCCAAAGTGTACTTTTTTGATCTTTTAGGTAAATTTGTTTCTTCATCAACTTTATAAGAACTCATATTTACATTATCTTTATTATTAAAAAATAATTCAAATTCTTTTTCTTTAACTTCTGGCATTTTTGAATGAGTAACTACAGATTTTTCTAATGCAATACATCTAGGCCCATTAATACGAGAAAATTTTCGTGCCGTATTGATAGTATTGGGAGATATCTGGGTTATGTTTATTTATTACTATTATATTTATATATTTGACAATTATACAAATTTTCTTACTTCTAATTTATCTATTAATTCCTGATATGTAAATTTTTCTGCAATTATTGACAGTATACATATTTTACCATCAATTCCTCTAAAATTTGCATCGTAACTATTACGAAAACAGTTCCAGAATGATTCAGCAGTTGACAAAGATTGTAAAGAAGTATTTAAAAACCTATTTTTATATAGGTTTTTAAGCGTATCATAGTCTTCTTCAGAGTTAGGTAAGTTTGTCCAAAATTCGGCCTATATTATATTTGATATATTATTGATTTTTAGTTTATCAATTTTTACTAATTTTTTTTTATAATTTTAAAATTTCATGCAATAATAGTATTTTTGAAAAGTTGATTAAGATTGATGGTATAGCAAATAGCAGAGTAACTTAGAGTATATTTGGTGGTAGAATTAATTTGGTAATTTGCCATAATTTTTTTGAGCCGTAATGCCATAATGCCGTAATACATTACAGCATTATGGCATATAATATTTATGGCAATTAGATACGTACTATGCCGTAATTAATTCTACCGCATGGTAAAATGCTATAATGCCGTAATTCAGTAATTCTACCGCCAACTATAACTTAGTTATAATTTGGATTACCGAATTGTTATCTGATTTAAAAACTCTAGTCAACGTTAAAAATCGTGAAGAATTTTCACGATTATTACATACATTAACCCTATTTATATTACCTGTCTATCAATTTGAGATTATTAATTCATAGGAAAAGCTATTATATAGGTATTGTTAAAAAAAATTTATTATTTAAAAATAGGTTTTTTTATACAAAGAAATACAAGCTAACAAATTTGATCTAGTCAATAATAAGTGATCAAAAGAACAACCAATTATTTTATTAACAATTTTTTAAAGATTGCATTCTAATGTATAATAGGTTCTATATTTAAATACACAAGTTTTCTTTAACAATACTTACATATAAGTAACTTTTGATATAAGAAACTCAATATAAGAAAGGTTTTACAAGTCTCGATCAAAAATTTTATAACAAAAGCTTTTGATATATTAAAATCTCTGGACCTGGTAACTTCTTTATATCAAAAGTCACTTGTATCTAATATTGGCAATTTTTTTGATCAAAAAAATATTAACTGGCCAAAGCGATTAGCTAGCCAATATTACTTTATCAAAAAATTTGCTATCACTGATATTATATGAAATTTTTTCTTTTTGATTTATAATTACTTTAGAAATTTTTTTATCATAGGGGGTAATATTTGTACATCCTGTTGCATGAAAAATTGCACGCCATGCTCTCAGTTCACGTTCTCTAAATTCATGATTTGGACCATATATTTTACTGAGATGAGTATATAATTCGATTTTTTGTTGGTTTCAACTTTGAAATACTTCATGCCATTCTTTAGCAGACTTACTAACTGCTTTTTTTAAATGTAAATCAAATAAATGCTCCATAATTGTTTTATTATTCCAATCCACAAATGTACACTCATTTGGTATTAATATTTGATGATTAAATTTGGCTTTATATATTTGATCTAATTGTTGTAAAGTCATTGGGTGATTTATAGCGAATAAAGTATCACCTGGGAAGGATTTTAGAACCCCAGTTTGGTTCCAAACGGCATTGGGAGAACTATCTTTATATTTAGCGACGATTTGACTATCCTGATAAATTATAATCGAATATGAATTGTCATCATTAACAGTTTGAAAAAAAACAGACTGTTTTGCTTTGTACTTATTAAACAACGATGCCATATAATTATAACCAACTGTATTACTATTTGAATGTGTAATTTTACCAAGAGAACCAACATAAATTGATAAATTTTCTATTTTTATAATAAATGGACAAAAAACAACATTTTCTAATAATTTTTGAAATGTTTCAGGTTGTTCTAAACCCAAATAAGATAAACCCGCAAATTTTGTTTTAGTGCCAAAGACGGCTTGGTAAACTGATGTAATTGCCATTAAGGAACTTGAAACCACACCACTACTTTTTCCATTTCCTTCACATATGTAACTCGGTTGTAAATGACTATGTATATGACGAACTACATGAATAATAAAAGGCATTTTATTGAGTTGTATTATAATCTCAAGTCCCAAACGTATAGGAATAGGATAAGGTATATGCTCTTGATTGTCTTTAGAAAAAACCCACCAATCGCGTATATATGGTCCATAGTGAAGCTCTGGTTCAATAGTACCAGTTGTTACAAGTTTTCCTGGAGTTATGTGTACACTTGTCATTTCAATTCTTTTAGGAAATAGAGATTTCAAATAGAATTTTTTTACTTAATAAATATAGCGCCGTAATTTACTATATACTATCTATCGGTCACATGCAGATCTGCAATTAAGGGTTTTTAGATCGGGAAGTAGTTCTTCCTCTTTTGTCTTTGCTACTAGCTCGACGAAAGTCTAGCTTTGTCGTTAATGCCCACCCACCCGCCATCAGGCAAAGGGGTTGTGTGTGTGGGGCAGGGACCCATAAAATTTTAGTTTTAAAAACTCAAAATTTTTTCTGATAACAGTAAAAAATTTAGTCAAATTTTAGCTTAAATTTAAAAATTTTAGATAAATTTTGATTTAAATTTGTAAATTTTGGATAAATTTTGATTAAATTTAGAAAAGTTTTATAGTTTATTCTTTTATTTTGTTAAAATACTTAAATAATTCAGCATTTAAATTTTGCTGATTGTTATTAAATATAAAATTAGGAACTAAGTCACATAAATATATATCTCTAGATC